TTTTTGGCGGAACCAGGGATTGAACTCAGGACCTTGAGCTTGCCAGGAAAACACTTATTCCAGTGAGCCATCTCCCCGGTCCTAAGCCCTTAGCTTTTTAGGTTTGCTACCTGTGTGAATAGCATCAGAACTAAATTAAATTATAGGGTGCTCACCTGGTATTTGTAGGGAGTTGCTTTTCAGTGTAGAAAATACACTAGTTATATTAGCACAAGAAGAAAAATCAGATCAGTGTAATAGACTAAATTCAGTAAGATAGCTCAGTGGTCTAAAGCGGCTGCTTAGGCAAGCTTATGCAAGCACAGGAACCGCAGTTTGATTCCCTGTACCATCTGCCACACCAGCCCCGCCCCCAGGGTGGGCTGAGCTGGCCACAAAAAAAAAAAAAAAAGAAAGAAAGAAGAAACACATACAAATATAATTGAAAACTTAATATATGATGAAAGTCTTACTTAAATTCATAAGGAGGGGCCGGGGAGATGGCTCAGTGAATAAGCGCTTGCCTGGCAAGCACAAGGGCCTGAGTTCAATCCCCGGTTCTACCAAAAAAAAAAAAAAAAAATTCATAAGGAAAAATATAGATTTTCCTTTTTATGTTTTATAAACCAGTTATTCATTTGCAATAAAACAAAGATTGCTAAAAAGATAAATTGATAAATTCTTTTTGGATTAATATGGTGGGCAGTACAGTAATTTTATAATTAATTAATTAATTTATTTTCTATATTTAGAACAGGGTCTATAGGGTCTCACTATGTATATTGGACTTACAGTGATTCTCCTGTTTTCAGCCTCTCAAGTGCATTTTTACAATTTAAAGAGCAAAATAAAACAGTAATGTTAAGAAACAGGCAGGATACCATAGCAATGGAAAGGGAGTACTAGTGCTCTGGAGAATAACCATCCAACGGGAAAGAGAGCTTTGGACTATTTCTCTTGGAAGCGGAGACTGACTCCTGGCTGATTCAAACTCCTCGGAGTACAGAAGCCCTAGGCAGGAGCACTAAGCACTAGGCAACTGTATTTTTGAGAGTAACTGACTTTTACTAAGAAAGAAAATCTGTTTGTTGCCTCAGAAGGGGAGAATAGAGGACTGAGTTTGCCATGACAAGACTTACTGGGTGTCACATAACGTTCCTCTGTCTGGGAATAATAATGGTCAAAGGCAAATTTGTGGTGACTCAATAAGGGAAAACTGCTAAGGATGTGAGCCCTGTGGAAATAAACTTCTGGCCGCCTCACTAGTAAGAAAGAGTCCTGACTCACTGAGGTATTGGAGGAGGGTAAGCAATCACGGCCAGGTTGATGTAGAAGGGAACTATGATCATCAACATGAAAGAAGTCCTGGAGACAGAAGCATGGAGGAAAGAAAGAAGATTGCTTGTGAACACTGTACTGGCTCCCTCGTGTAAGAACCTGGAAGAGTCAATAAGATCTGAAAAGTACAATAAATAGAGTAAAAGAGGAAGAAATTGAACATAAGGAATAAACAATTGGGATGAGGAAAAAGAGAAGACACGGGAAAAAAGGAAGGGAAGAAATTTTATGGCAGAACCGGGGATTGAACTCGGGCCCTTGTGCTTGCCAGGGAAGAGCTTATTCAATACTGAGCCATCTCCCAGCCCCTCTCAGTTTTTTGAAGGTAGCAGTTAATGCTTAAAGTTTCTACTTTGACCAATTTTATATGCTTCCATCTGTAATCTGAGCAACTACATTGGAGACAGCAATATGTAGTATAACAACCACAGTTGAATACCTATCATCTTGGTTTTTTTAAAAAAAATTGTGGATAGCTTCCATCTCTTATGTATTATTTTTCTATTCTCTTTAAAATAAATTACATTCAAAAAAGAAGTTGAAAAGGAAGCAGGCTTTGGCAGGACAAGCTTAACAAGTGAAAAACTAAAACAGATATTCCAAGGAAAATCCTTGTAAGATTACTAGAGTCAATAGGTTTTGATCTGTCTCTGTTTGCTGGCAAAACTCAGCACTTTTCTTTCATGATTTTCATGTTCAGAAAAAGTCAACACGTGTTTGTAGGCATCAACATTGCAAAAGTCGTTTTCCTAGAGAGTCAGAAACTTATGGGAAATGCTCAAAGTTCAATTTATTTGGTGGGGGGACTGGAAAGAGAACTCCTTTTTTTGTTTTGTTTTTTTGAGTCAGGGCTCACTATGTGGTTCAGGCTGGTCCTGAACTCACTATGTACCCCTGGCTGGCCTTGAACTCCCGGTGATCCTCTTGCCAGCAACCTCCACAGTGTTGAAATTACAGACATGTGCCACCATGCCTGGCCAAGAACTACTTTTTAATGAAATCCTCATGCAATTTCTTTTCTTTTCTTTTTTCTTTTTTCTTTTTTCTTTTTTTTTTTTTTGTGGAACTGGGGATTGAACTCAGGCTCTTGCACTTGCCAGGGAAGGGCTTATTCCACTGAGCCATCCCCCCAACCCCTTCATGCAATTTCTTAGCAGTATTGTCACTTGCCTTTCACTGTATGTTCAGAATTGGAACACTTTTACCACTTCCATGCACATTCTTTTACCATCTGAACAATACATATCTCCTTGCCTAGGATCTTTCAAAACATGCTCTTTTTTATGAAATTCATAATATAACAGCCGTGCTGTTACAGTTATATATAGGTCAGGTTAAGTTATTCCTCTGCTCCAAACCTTCCAAACTCTGCCCTCTGATTTGGGGTAAACACAAATGTCTAACAATAGCAACAAGGCCCTCAAGAAATGGTACCTCATGTTCCCTTATGATTCAGCTTATGCCATCTTCTCTAGTTTTCTTTTTTTAAAAAATAGAATAGCTGGCATTTTTGGAAAATGGATGATCCTTACAGACGTCAGACATTCCCCCAGGAAGGGCTTGGTGACCCACTGAAGGGAGGGTGATCTTCAGAAAACCACTTTCCTGAAGTCATCTTATTGGTGGGATCACCTCTTTCCAGTGACTGAACAGAGTTAGGGTCTACATGCCCAGTGCTGGACAACTAATCTGGTGACACTGTTCAAACTTCCAAAACTTCATGTGGGGCTGGGATAATGTCATGTTTAGTCCCCTTTACCCATCTTTTCCTAGGAATTGACCCTAATAATTAGCTCTTATTGTAAATACAATCTCAACTTCCAAAACCCAAATGTGTCAGTCAGTTTACCATCACTATAACAAATAAGATATGATCAACTTAAAAAGTGAAAAGGTTTACTTTGATATACAGTTTTAGTTTTCAGTGCATTATTGACTGACTCAAATGCTTTGGGCCTGTGGTGAACAGCACATCATAGAAAGGGTGTTAATAGCACAAAACCTATCACTTCATGTCCAGGAAGTGAAAGAGAAAGGAAGGGATTCAGGTCCCACAATTCATTTGGACGGCATGGTGTTTTTGAATGGAAAACATCCTTTCAGATGTTGTTTTTGAGTGGAAAACATCCTGCTTAAAGGCCTTGCACATATTAGGCAATTATTCATCATTTAACTACATTCTCAGCCTTTTAAATATTATTTTATTTTTTTGAGACCGGGTCTCACTACGTAGTTGAGGTCAGCCTTAAACATGCTGTATAGCCCAGGCTATTCTTGAACTAACAATTCTCCTGCCTCACCCTCTTCAGCAGCCAGGATTACAGACATGTGCCTCTATACTGAGTTTAAATCCCACCTCATTAAGATTTCCCCATCTCTCTCCCAGTAGTGACCTGCTGGGAACCAAGCATCTAATACCTAAATCATTCAGGAACATTCCTAACTGTAGCGCCAGCCTGCAACACTTACGTTGTGATTTAGATCAAGAACGATCCCCAGAATTCTCATGGGCTCATAATGGGGCTTTCCAAAGGTCACTGGATCGTGCAGGTGCATGCTATAGCTATCTTGATGTTAGAGTGGGACCTAGTTGGAGGTGAGCCCTTGTGGGGATGAGCCGGAAGTGCACAGCTCTCTTCCTGGCTCCTCTCCTCTCTCTGCTTCTTGGCCTCCATGCAGAGAACAGGTTTCTTCCACCATAGCCTTTCTACTCTGCTGTGTCTACTTAGGAGTCAGCCAACGATGGACTGAAAATGACAGCCAAAATAAACCTTTCCTCCTTTACACTGTCTCAGTGACAAGAAGGTAACTGAAACAATACACTAATTAAACTATCCAAAAACAAAAACAAAACCAAGTGGGAGAAAACCTACATGTTTACCAGTAGGGAAATGAATGATAGGCTATGTGATGAAATGCGATGTAGGCAGACATTACCTTTCATGAATTAAGGTAGAGAGATGATCCTGATATATTTTTAGTTCAGCTTCTAAAAATGCAGGTAGATGAACACATATCTGTGTGCATAAAAACAATTTCTACAATATATTTATTTTCCCCACACTTGGATTTCTTCTTTTTGCAAAGGATGTGTGCATGAGCTCAGGGAATCCCTGAGAGAACTGGGAGGGTACAGCATGACTTGAAGTCTAGCTCATGAAGAGCCAGCTCAAGAAGACAGTGTGTGTGTAGACATCCAGGCCAGGGTGCCTGTGGCACTGGATTTGACTCCTGGTTATCTCCTTTGCATCATCCAAAAGGTGTCCTGAGGTGCTTGTGAGAATCAGTTAGCTAGTTAAAGAAAATGTCTGGAACAATTCCTCTAAACATTTTGATGCTCAATAAGTTTGTGCCTTTCATGAACTCAGTACATGTTAGTCGCTATCGCTCTCTTCCTCCTGACTGGAGGGACAAGAGTGAATGTTAACGTGGGGAGCTTGATGGTTGATGTCTCAGGGGATGCTCAGATGCCAGGGAGCCGGGCAAGGATTGAGCATGAGCAGAGAATGGACTCCTCTAGCACTGGGAGTCAAGGACGGCAATGCCAATAATTCTGGAAAATTCAGAGGTAGAAGGTAAATGCAGACACAGGCCTAGGAGAAAAACAGATCTTCCCTTTTGGTACAGCTCCCCCTACACATGGTAAAATGAGGAAGTGAGGGGAATCCAAGAAAGAGGAAAGGGAGTGAACATGCTCAGGAGGTGGACAGAAAATCTGGCTCCACACCCAGCCCCTCCCACATCTCTGTGTGTGTTCCAGTTACGGTCTAGTCTTATTATTTGCTGTGCCGAGTTGAGGAAATGGGATGTTCAGTGCTGCAGAACTTTGATTCTCATACACAAAGATCAGCAGGATGTGTCATGTGTGTGGCTCCTCCTTTGGTCCTTCCCACCCCAGTGGTGCAGGATCTAGTTCTTTCTGTCCCACATTTGGCCACTCCTGCCTGTGCAACAAAGTCAAGAGTCACGTCCTTCATCCTTTCCAAAGGTAATTGGGTTGGTGAGTCCAGTGAGCTAAAGTGGGTGGGAATGTTAAAAGGAAGCAGGGAGAGGAAGACTTCAGGTCTTGGGTGGGAGTAATTGGGAGAACTATAAGGGAGCAATATGGAATTTAATTATCAAGTGGAGACTCGAGGCTCTCCTCTCTTTCACACATTCTAGATTGAGTTTTGGTAGTCACATTCCACAGTCACAAGCTAAAACTCAAACTCAGGCTCATCTCTGGCCTAATTCTAGTCTGATCTTCAATCCCAACTCTAGGCATAGCCCGAAGCCCTGTTCTAAATCCAGTTCCTTCTTTAACCCAACCTCAGAACCCACTTGCATCTAAACACCAAATGACACCTCAGTGCTATTCTGCTTGCACTTTCTGTGCCAAGCTTAGATCTGACTCCATCTCTGATCTACCACGAGTAGTGGTGCCGATCCTTCCATGCAGTACAGCTTCAGCTCCAGCCCAATTTTAGATTCAGGCGTAGAAATAACTTTACTCAACCTCAAGCCCAAGCAACAGCCTAAGTCTGACCCTATTTCCACCTTTAGCTGCAGACACAGGCGTCTCTGATCATACTCCTAAATCAGAGCTCATTCTCAGCTACAGCCTCAACTCCACTCTGACCTCAGCTACACTCTGCTAGCCTCCTCTCTGGCCCCAGCTCTGCTCCACCCTGGACTCTTGTCTCTTAATTTCAGCTCTGGCAGCCTCAAAGGCTGTGTGTTTGTCTAAGAATGGACATGAAATATGAAAACTTTCAGGAGCTGGGGAGTGAGAAGAAAAACCCAGAAATTAGAAAAGGTAAGAGGAATGGGGAAACAGTCTCTCCTAAAGCTCTCTGCTAAGATATCTGACAAGATATCTACTGTCACATCTTGCCTGCTCTGCTGCCGTGTACATGTTGGGTCTTTAATTCTGGATGAGTCATTTCCTCTCAGGGCCCACTGTGAAGAGATTTCAAGGTCCTCAGAAAGACAAAGACATAGAAGGTCTCCACTGGTTTTGGGGGTTTGGGGGGGGAGGAGATGAGAGCTATGCAGCAGTTTGATTTGGAAGGGAAGCTTGATAATTTGTATGCCCATCATGCAGATGTGTGTGAGCCTGCCAAGGACCCATTTCTCTAGTTACCTCTGTCCTTGTTTTTCCTCCCCCAACTCTGATGGTAAGACATCAGGTATCACCAACTGTCCCTGTCTGTGCATACTTATGTGTATTTGGGGTCCCAGAGGTGAGTATCTATGTCCCCAGGAATGTGAGAGATCTGTGTGACTGAGGACTTGTGCTGGTCCAGGAAGGGTCAAAGGGCTGGTTGTCTGCTTGCCCCTGAATCTCCTCATCCAGTTCTAGCTCTCATCCCAGCAATCCCAAGGCTCAGCTTCGAACCTTGTTGAGTCCCTGGGGTTCTTTTCCTCCTGTCTCTGTCACAACCAAGATTCTCCTTGTAATGATACTCTCTTCTCTCTCAGCTCCACCTCTCCAGAGTATACTGGGGAATTTCTGCCATGGGCCCTACCTCAGCCTCATCTCCCTGTGCCTCAGTCTCTTGCTGCTGGTAGTTGTCTGTGTGATTGGACACCAAGGTGGGTGCCTGGGGCGGGCAGGAAGAAAGCAATCATGGGAGTGCAGTTGTGCGGCAGTGCTGGGGTGATGGCAGGAGCACTGACGGGCACAGTGGGCAGTTATGGACAGCAGTGAGGACTATGGTGATGGCCCTGCTATGAAGCAGCCCAGAGGGCCATAACGACAGTTGATAACAACAGAGGTGGAAACGGGTGGAAATGGTGGGGGACCCATGATTTGGATGGCTGCTGCTCATGTCACTTACTAGTTGGGTCATGTGTCTAATCTCATCAAGTCCTGAACCTTTGTGTCTTTGTGTGCAATACTGGATAATGGGGCCTTGCCCATTCCCACGGGGTCAGTGTAAGGCCCACATGAGATAAGGCATGTAAAGTGAGGACCTGATAAATCTTAATTCTGATCATTCCCTCCACTTGGTCAGGTTCTGGCTTACAGAAAGATCTGATAACCCTGAGAACAAATTCCAGCAATTTCACCTCAGCCCATGAAGCTAACATCCAGCAACTGACTTCCAAATGTGAGCCAAACTTGAAAGGAGCACTGGGGTGAGGTGGGTTTCAGTGGCTGGGGGCTGCCTCCTGAGCTCAAGTCCCTCTGTCCTTCAGTTGATGCGTTGCAGAAAACCATAAGTTCACTGAAAGCAGAGGTGGAGGATCACAGGGAGGAACTGCAGGCGGGTGAGAGAACCTGGTGTCCACAGTGCATGGGGGGTACGCAGGGGAGCAGCTTCCTGGTGCTGAGCCCCGTCCTCTCCAGGCCGTAGCTTGAACCTGACGGTGGCTTCTCTCAAAAGCACTCTGCAGAAAAAGGAGCAGGAATTCAAAGAAGGTCAGATGGCTATTCCCCTGCACCTGGGCATGTTGTTTTGGAGAGCATGAGGTTCCTGGGCTGTGTCCTATATAGGATGACTGAGGAATCACTAAAGACCACACACAGCATGTGGTTCCCACTCGCGTCTGCTTCTGTCCCAGATCAATCTCAGATGCGCACACGGATCCAGGAGCTGGTAAAAGACCTGCGGTCCCTGTCCTGTGAGTTGGCTGAGCTCAGGAGCAATGGTAAGGAGGATAAGGATGTGGCCAGCCTCTCTTCACAGCTGGGGGCTCACTAGGCATCACCCCAACTCCTTCATCCTCCCTCCCCTGCTAGGCTCCAGGACCTGCTGCCCCCTTAACTGGATGGAGCACGAAGGCAGCTGCTACTGGTTTTCTCAATCAGGAAAGTCCTGGGATGAGGCTAACAAGTACTGCCAGATGGAGAACGCCCACCTAGTGATGGTGAACTCCTTGGAGGAGCAGGTGAGGCTCCACCTGGCTCTTATTTGAGGCTGGCTCGGCTACAGGACAGCTCACCATCCTATTCATCCCTCCACAGAAATTTATCCAGAGCAACACGAGACGCATAAGCACCTGGATGGGCCTAACTGACCGAAGTGGGTCCTGGAAGTGGGTGGACGGGTCTGACCTCGACGGCGGATTTAAGTGAGTGGGTTTGCTTGCCAGAAGCTCTGTGTCTCGTGTCTGCGACTCTTCCCACCTCCCAGCCTGTGACCCTATGGTCAGAGAGACTCCTGGGAAGGGGCTGAGAATGACTTCCTGGTGTGGATGGATGGTCTTCTCCTGTCTCCAGGAACTGGAGTCCAGAGCAGCCAGATGACTGGTACGGACATGGGCTGGGAGGAGGCGAGGACTGTGCCCACTTCACCGGGGACGGGAGCTGGAATGATGACGTCTGCCGGAGGCCCTACCACTGGATCTGTGAAACAGAACTGAGCCAGCCCAGCTAAGAGCCTTCCTTGCTGTAATTTATTTCCTCAATGCCTTGAAATGCTAAGATCAAGTGTTAAGAATCATTTCTGGGGAGGGGCGCCCTTCATTTTCAGGGGGAATTTCACCTAGCATTTTAAAGAGAGGGAAAACGATGGTGTCTAAGGAATGTACTGTGAAATGTATAGTGGTTGGGAGAATGAAATCTATATTTTGTACAGTGTGCCGCTTATTAATGTCATCTTTTTCTTCTTAAAGTAAAAAGAATAGAAATATAGCCAAATATCTTATGCACTGTCTGGTTACTGGGGGTTTGGAGCTGAGAGTAGCCTGTCTGGCAGAAGGAAGACTTTGGGAGGAAGTGAGAACTGACAGGGCTTTGGGCCAGTGGTCTACTGAGGAGCCTGGCTTTGTTACTTACAGGTGTGTGAGCTTGGGTAAGACTTTCTGTCCTCTGAATCTCAGCTGAAAAATAGGGTTGTTAGGTGAGCAACACCTCATAGAACTCAACCACCTTAATTTGTTGAGTGCTTTAAAAACCTTAAATGAGGCTGGGGAGATAGCTTGCAGTCTAAGGGCCTGCCTGGCAAGTGCAAGAACCCAAGTTTGATCCCAAGGGTGCACCGTGCCAGCCCAGAAACCGGGTATGATGGTGCATGTCTGTAATTCCAGTGCTGGGGAGGCTGAGACAGGAGTATCACTACAAGTCTGAACTATGTAGCAAGACCCTGTATCCAATAAACAAGTAAAGAAAAACCTTAAATGAAACTGGTGGACGCCACATTTACAGACAGGTAACAAACACCATGAATACACAGTAGCCAAGTGCATGAGGACAACAGGAATCATGGAAGGAAACACCAACATTAATAGGGCGGGTAGCAGAGACACGAATTAAGATTCCACAAATGCTTCTGGGATTATTATGCTTATTATCTCTGATGTGAATTTGATTAGAAGAACTCTTATGAGAAAATCAAACTGCACCATTTCATGATGGCTTCAATCCCAATTTCTGAAAGTAAGAGACATTTGTACTAGAAGGTACAAATCACTTGAAATGTTTTATTCAGACTTGTGATAATTTCTAGCAAGCTTGTGGATGAAGGAGGCAGAGCCTGGTCTGGAAGGGTGGAGCACTAGGTCCTGAGGCCTTGGCTTTCTGTCCAGTTAGCTGGGCCATGCGGCGGTCATTCGGTATTGGTGATTGAACACAGGGCTGTGCCACTGAGCTACATCCCCAGCCCATTTTACTTTAAAATTTTGACTCTAAATCCACTGAAATTGCCCATAGTGGTCTCAAGTGTTGTGGAGGACCACATGAGCAGCTCTCCTTGAAAGAAGATAGACTGTCTCCATTTTGACTGAGCCTGACCCTATTTCCTCCTATTGTTCTGTACAGAGCTGGCTAGGACTTCTGTTTATGCTTCAGTTGGCCTTAAGCAATGTGTATTGGTCTAGCTGAGGTGCTGGTGATAGTGTTTGAAGGTGGCATGCGTGTTTCCCTGGTAACCTACACCTGCTGCTCTTTAAGCCCTGTCGAGACAGGACGGTGAGACAGGACACAGGACGGTAGAGCCAATGCTCGGTGCTGCCAGCTGGGATCGAACCTCGAGATAGAGCTGTGACTTCCTGGGGCTTGAAAGACTACATCAAAGCTGAAGCACCAGACTTGCCAAAACATTAGATACTATATAATGCAGATTACTCTCTCTGCATATCCTTTCTGCATATTGCAGAGGCAAATTTAGGCCACCCACCTAGCTCAGCTCATAGTAGTCACCTACTTCCCACAATTCTCAGTCAATCCTCCTTAAGCCACTCCTCCACTGAATAAAACTGGGTGAGGTCCTGGGTTGTTCTCTTGGTTCTGGAAAGCCATCTTTGTGGCTGGACTTAGAGCCCCTTGACTCCCCAATGACTGAAAATATAATTTAGTGTCTTTATTTTCACTGTGAGTTGCATTGCAAGTGGTAGATTGGAATCAACTTGATGGGATTCCAATAACATAACTTTGGGATTACAAATATTAGCTTCTTGGACCAAGACGAGGATTTGGAAGTGTCTCCTACAAAGTGTGTGATCCTCCTACCTCAGCATTCCTAACTGCTTGGAGTATGGGATGGTGCCACCACACCTGGCATGCTTCTGGAATTACTAACAAGTTTGAACAAAGTGTTTGCATACATAAGTAAGACCTCAGTGGATTCAAAACAGGAGAATTCTCTTACCATGATAAAACAGAAATGAACCCAAAAGTATATTCTTAAAAAGATGTGTAAACATGTAATTTTCTTACCAACTCTCATTTTGAGCTTATCAGAAAATCAAATTCACAGTTAAGTGATTTGGAGGGGCCGGGGAGATGGCTCAGTAGAATAGCTTCCCTGGTAAGCACAAGGGCCTGAGTTCAATCCCTGGTTCTGAAAAAAAAAAAAAAAAAAAAGTGATTTGGAAACAAGCAATGTGAGCATTGTTTATTGACACTGCAAATTCTCTAAAGCAGTTTATAAGAAGACATGCATGTGGCCCCAAAATATTAAAAATATAGACAGTGTCAGGCACAGTGGAGTATTCCTGTAAATCTACTCACTTACGAGGAGTTTGAGTCAGGAGAGCAAGTTTAAGGCCAGCCTGGGCAACTCAGCAAGACTGTCTCAAAATTTAAAAAACAAAAGGGTTGGAGATCAGCCCAGTATTTCACAGGCATATATATATATATATATATGCCCAATGGCTGAAATGGAATAAAATTATCTTGACTCAACAACCTGGAAAAAGAATAGTAAAATAAATCTTCCCAGGTAGAAGAAAATAATTTATAAAAACACAAGCAATGCTGAGGAGGTAGCTCAGTAGAATAAGCATTTGCCTGTCAAGTGCAAGGTCCTGAGTTCAATCCCTGGTACCACAAAAACAAAACAAAACCAAAAAAAACAACCAACCAAACAAACAAACAAAAGATGGACAAGGGCATAAAAATACAAATATCATTAGTAAAAAAAAATCTTGATTCTTGGAAAAATTGAATAAAATACATATGAAGGAGAATAAAGGAGCTTCAGACACTAATTTAGAAAGAAGAAAGTGCATATGCATAGACATAGAAGAAATAAGAGAGGGAGCAGTGTTTTTAGGGTGACTCCCTTGGTAGAAGTTATAAATTCAAATCTTAAAATTGGCAAGCAGGAAAAGGGAAGGGGACTAAAGGAAGGTAGAAGGCAGAGGGAAAAGACCAGTAGAGCTATGTATAAAAGAGCACAAAATAAAGGATTAGTTATAAGTAGACTGCATACTAGTCCTTAAAACATGCTTAAGTAAATGTAGAAGAATCAAGTTATTCCATGAATTTTCTCAGATCATAGTGCAATGAAACTAAAATTCACTTTCAATAGAAACTATGCCAACACATGGATATTAAACAATGCCCTCTTAAAAAAATCAATGGGTCACAGATGAAATTAAGGAAGAAAGTTCCAGCATCAAATGACAACACCAGTATGACATACTGTAAGCTGTGAGACACAGTGAGAGGCATTCCAAGGGGGATGTTCATAGTGGTGATTTCCCACGTCAGAGAAGCAGAATGAGCACAAATAAGTAGTGATGCACCTCAAGGTCCTAGAAAAAAAGAATAATACAAATCAAAAGCTTTTGTGAGTGTGTGTGTGTGTGTGTGTGTGTGTGTGTGTAACCAGGGATTGAACTCAGGCCCTTGCACTTGCCAGGCAAGCGTTTATTCTACTGAACTATCTCCCCAGCCCAAAATCAAAAGCTTCTTTATAGAAGGATATTAGAAAGCTTAGACCAGAAATTAATGAAATTGAGGCTAAAAACAATACAAAGAATCAGTGATTCAAAGAAATTATTCTTTGAAAGCATAAACAAGGGGCCGGGGAGATGGCTCAGTGGAATAAGTGCTTCCCTGGCAAGCGCAAGGGCCTGAGTTCAATCCCCAGTTCTGCTAAAAAAAAAAAAAGCCCAACAAAATAAATTCAACTAAATTGAAAGCATAAACAAAATAGACAAGCCCTTAGTCACACTTAGCAAAAATAAGGAAAGATTCAAATCCATGAAATTAGAAATAAGAATGTGAAAATCAAAACTGATTCTTCCAAAATCCAGATCATTTGTAACTACTTTGAGAAACTGTAGTTGAATAAAATGGCAAATTCAGAAGAAAAGGATAGATTCCTAGATACATGTTGACTACCAAAGCTGAACCAAGAAGAATTAAAAATCCTGAATAATCCAATATCAGTCAATGAAACTGAAGAATAACCCCCCCCAAAAAAAACTACGAGCTAAGAAAAGGAGATGCCCCATCACATTCACTGATAAATTCTACAGGAACATTAGAGAAGACCTAACACCAAATACTCCTCAAAGTCTTTAGTGAAATCAAAAGGGAAGCAGTATTTCCAAAGTTATTCTGGGAAATAAACATTACCCTGATTTCAAAACCAAAAACGGTTGCCCGATAGTTCTCTTTTTTGGTTTTAAATGAGACAAATGAGAGAACTATAGGTCAATCTCCTTAATGAACATAGATGCAAAAATTCTCAATAAGATACTGATGAACAGAATGTAGCAGATCATCATAAAGATCACACATCATGACCAAGTATGATTCATTGCTGCAATGCAGGAATAGTTCAATATATGCAAATTAATAAAGATAACACACCACCTAAACAGAGGCAAGGACAAAAATCATGTGATTATTGCAGGATATGCAGAAAAAAAAATATCTGACAAAGTCCAACATTCATTCATGATAAAAGTCCTGAAGAAGATACATATAGGTCTTTATCTTAATCTTATAAAAACCAGACAGCCAACCAATGGCCAACATCATACTAAATGGAGAGGAGCTAAAAGCTTCCTTTTAAAAATCAGAAACAGGACAAAGATGTCTGCTATTAGTACTGCTGTTCACTATAGTTCTCAAATAGTAGCCAGAGCAAGTAGACAAAAGAAAGAAAGAAGGGATATTTATAGGAAACGAAGAATTTAAATAGTCATTACTTGCAAATGGCATGATCCTTTATATCAAAGACCTCAAAAACTCCACCAAAAGACAACTAGAATTAATTTAAAAATTCAGTATTATATTAGGATACAAAATCAACACTTAAAAACAGATAGCATACTTGTATGCAATAATAAACTCATTGAGAGGGAAATAATACCTTCTACAATAGCCTTAAAAAATAGGAACTAAATTAAGGAAGTGAATTAACCTAACTAAGGGCCTGAGTTCAATCCCCAGTTCCACAAAAACAAAACAAAACAAAACAAAACAAAACAAAACAACCCTTGAGGCTTTTATACATAAATAGAAACAACTTGAGACCATATTCATAAGTGAAATAAATCAGATCCCCATGTATAAGCATTGTATTGTCTCCCTAGTGTAAGAACCTAAA